TTTGCCCCATTCCCCCCAGTCCTATCATTACCTGACGTCCTAAAAGGTCCCTCCCCAGCTTTCTTGTAGGCCCCCTTAAAGACTGGAAGTCTGACACCAAGTGTTTCTCTCTGCAGTAAGATGCATGATGTATGGATTTGGGGATGACCAGAACCCTTACACAGAATCCGTGGACATTCTTGAGGACCTGGTAATTGAGTTTATCACAGAAATGGTAAGTCAGCTGTAGACAGCACGGTCAAAACTTCCTCCCTAAGGCTTCATTCTTCTGCAGCTTAATACCTCTGCCTCAAACACTGCATGAGCCCCGGCCCAAAGCTCTCATGGCAGAAGTTCAACCTAGACTTTACTTTTTTTACCTTACTGCCTGTGCAGCTGACAGAATGCTCAGCTTTGAAAGTCTCCCAGGTTCCTCTGTCCTCCTGGTGTCTTTAGGGCAACGTGTTTATGTCTGCATGGCGACGTAGCTCTGTGCTACAAAAGAAATGCAGATTTCTGGGGCCTGAAGCTGTCACTCTTCTAGAGAATTGGGTAGTGCTTGAAAAAGCTATTCCTAAATAAAGCTTAAGGGGCAAAGGAAGGGTGCTGACTCCCCTCTCTCCCCCCACCAGACACACAAGGCCATGTCCATCGGGCGGCAGGGCCGCGTCCAGGTCGAGGACATCGTCTTCCTGATCCGCAAGGACCCCCGAAAGTTTGCCAGGGTTAAAGACCTCCTCACTATGAACGAAGAGCTGAAACGAGCCAGAAAGGCCTTTGATGAAGCCAACTATGGCTCCTGATGCCCTGCGTCCCTGCCCTGGGGGCACGACCTGGGCACCCCCTGCCCCAAAGGAAGAAACGCCGCGGGTGCTGGTTGGAGGGGTTGGTCAGGATGGGGGTCACTGCTGGGATGTCTGCCCTTGCTCCCAGCTTTTTCTGAGTGTTCCAGCAGCTGAATGTTATCTGAGTGCGTGTGGTATATGTATTTATACCATTTTAGGAAATGAGAAGAGAGCTCTGAAGATTCTGGTAATGGCAGGAGGTCAGTTTGGAGTAGGACCAAGCTGAATGAGGTATCTAAAGGGTTAATGATGTGTGATTCTCTACAACTGTTTCAGTCAGTGCTGGGCATTCCTCTGACAGAAAGCCTACAAAATACATCTTGGTTAACTGGACAAAGTCTTCAGGACCAAACTACTACAGTTCTGCTCTTTGCTCTGTATGTGATCTGTGAATAAAACGTGGTAAATTTGTGCCCACTCTTTGTAATTAAACTGAGATTGATCAGCTCATGCAAGATGCACAGTACAGGACTTTTAGCACTTGATTGCCTAGGAAAGGTATTTTTTCTTCTGTCTCAGGGGGCACAGCTTTCTTGTTCTCCACCCCTACTGAGCCTAGGAAATGGAAGCTAACCTACACCAGATTTAAATACTTCCTGTTGATTCTGATTTTGGGACTTAGTTACAAGCAAGAGCCTGGCAGAAAGCACTAACCCCATTGCTTGTTATCACTTCATTAATACATGTTAGAGTATTGGAATACCCATAAAACAAAAGGTGTCTTACAAAACCATAAAATAGCTGCTACTTTCTTAGCAGAATTGTTACCAATTAGGTTTCTGAGGAGGTTGCTTTAAAAACAAAAAGATTAAGCAATTAAAATGACTTGACCCCTTTCCTTTTTTCAAGTCCAGGGTCAGACACCCATGGCTGCAAAAATAGAATCAATATCCATGTCCTCAGCAGCTTCTCTCCACACAGGGCCAGGGCTTCTTTGCAGCAGCAGCTGCGTGGGGGTCCCTGCTGTGCTCAGCTCAGCACAGCCCCTGTCAGCAGCAGAACGTCCACCTGGACTGAGAAGCCCGTCCTGGTAAGCTGGGGTGATGAGTGATGCACTGGTACCACACCCCCCAGAAAGCTCAGGAGGTTTCTGCTGCATCTTCTGAGTTCTCTTCAGGCGTGTGGCTGATTTCATCCTCCCCCAAAAGAAGCCTCCCCTCAGGTACTGCCTGGACCGCCGTGCAGCTCGTGACCCACACAGGAGGTATTTACAGACAGATGTTTTCACACAGCACAGCTTCTTCTTCAAGCTTAAGAGGAGGAAGGTGCACAAAACAAAACTTTATCAGCTGCTGAAGTGTTATTTGAGCTTTTGAGACATTTGGTTATTATCTGTCTCTACCTTGACATCCCAAGGAGGCACAACAGGACCTTGTGCAGGCATTCTGGAGAAAGATGATGTCCCTCACATCATATAATCACTGCCATTAAACATGCACATGATTGAAGTTCCATTTTCATTCTCCCTCTGAAGTGGTTGTGGGTTTGTTAGCTTTTTTTTAATCCTTTCACAACTGGCTGGAGCTAAAGACAACGTTCACATGGGGGCATCCAGCACCTGGGCTAGGGATCCCATTTCAGTTTAGAAAGGGGTTAGACTGTTGCATTTCTCTACGTTGGAGCAAAATACCCAATACTGAAATATCAGAAATATACTGAAGTATCCAGAAACCCCACCCCATGCAAGCTTACCTGCACCCCTGAGCCTCCACATGGTGCAGCCGGTTGCTTTTCAACAACTTGTTCCCCAGAAAGTAAGCTTCTGATCTGAATTTGTTGCCTTTGCACCACAAAATAGCTTTTCTGAGTGCCTCTGAGAGCTCCCCAAAGGACCCAGCTGCCTGCACCATCTGTACCAGACATCCCCTCTGCTGGGATTGTGCTACAGGAGAGGAACACCACGGTGCCTTTGCTTTGAAAGGTGTTGATGCAAGGCTTCTACCCTGAAACAGAGTAACAGCAACAGTCTTTTAAAAACACATCCCTCTTTGCTGGAAAGGAGCAGAGCACTCAGGGTTTGTGAGAACATTCCTTATTTCCTAAAGAGAGAGTGGAAGAGCAGTCTTGTTTTGTGGAATAGAAAAAGAAGAGGCAGATACTAGAATCAGTCTTCCTGTCTACTACCAGCTTGCTCTCTGGTGATCTCACTTGGCAACAAATGCTCCAATTCCTAAGCAGGAATTAGTAGTGGCTTTCAGTGCAAAGCTTCCACACTAACTTGGGTGGCTAGACAAGCAAAAATAAGGCAGGGAAAGGGGACATTTTCCATTGGGATATCATATTTTGAGTGTTAGGCTCTTTAAAGTTAAGGGAAAAAAAGTAAAGTGTGTAAAATGGTGCCGTACAAACCTCTTGTGTCAGAAGTCTAGATGATCTTAGTAAGCTTTTCACATCAAACCCCAGGTGCTTCCCTACAAAGAGAGAGTTCCCAGTGTGAAATAAAGACAGTTTGAAGTCTCTGAAGAGACACCTCAGTGCTTTGCCCTGCCGAGCTCTCAGGCTCCCTGCCCTCTCAGCACCACCAGGCCAGCTCAGGGGGACTGCGCTCACTCATCCTGCAGGGCAGCTGGCAGGGGATGAAGAGGATGCAGGGCTGGACAGATGGCTGCAAGGAACTCAGTGCCTAAAAGCTTCCTGCCAACATCTGGATGCCTGCTGTCACCAGATGTAGCCCTTGGGCACAGCCCAGAAACAGCAAGTGCAGGACAGATGCATCCTGTGCTCACAACCTTGTCTACTCCTCTGTGGGCTGCAGTCTCTCCACTTCCCTCTCTATCCTTGGGCCCCACCTATGCAGAAGCAGGAAAAGACAAGTAACTACTTACAGGACTTGTACACTGCATTCATTACCTGCTTCTCTCCAGTTTGTATGTTTTAAAAAACCAAAAACAGCCCCAAAACCTCACAATACTGACACTACCCACAGCTTCATAAAGGCAAGAGCACATGCAGCTCCAAGGAGAAGAGAGTTTGTGCTAGAACCACACCCTTGCAGGGAGCAGAAGTGCTTGGCCCTGCTGGACAGAAATCAGCGTGCAGGATGTCAGAAACAGCAGCACTGTGGCACAAGGCTTTACCTCTGTGAGCTCCAGTCACCAGAAGTGGCTCCCCAACATCTGTGGGGCACGGGACGTTGTGGGTCTTCACAGCTCTCGTGCAGCTTCCAAAATGTCTCTTCTTCCCAACCTCTGATGCTGCCTCTGGCACTGATGGGAAGAGCTTCTTCAGCCAGCTGCTAGGCTTTTTTGTTGTAAGCATTCTAGCCTTTTGCTTCTTCACCTCAGAAGCAGCATTAACTCCAAGGAAGCTATTGATGTCAGAAGGGAAGGTAAACCCCTTGATGTAAGGCATCTGCTGGGTCTCAGATATCAGATGAAGTGATGTCCACAAGGTGCCATAGAGGGACACGAGGCTCTGCAATGCACACCTGTACTGAACCCTGAAGAGAGAAGACAAAGCCATGGAGTCTCCTCTAGCAAAACCTTGTGCTCAAGGAACTACCTTCAGCTGAAGCAGAACTGCTCAGGGAAGAGATTCCAAGCTGCCCTTTCCCTATTCCCCCTCAAAAAAAAAACCCACATATATTTTTATTTATACTCCATCACCACACTTTCCTTAACGTTAGTCTGAGCTTAAGGAGCTGTTCAAGATCAGTGGCTTGATAGTAAACTCCTTTCCCCTGGAAAACTCAGCAGTACTGAAGTTGTAAAGAACAACTTTATCCCAGACTTTCCACCTCAGCACGAGGCAGGACTTGGTGCCTGCTGCAGAGTACCACGTGTCTGTGTTTGTGGCAGGCTGGTGCTAACACTGTGATTTTACATCAAGTTTGCTGTGAATCCAGAATAAAGCCTTCTCTCCATTTCCACAACTCTTCAGATGCTACAATCAAGTCCAAAACAATGGAAGGACCCCTCCCTCCTCCTCCTCCTCCTCCCAACTGACTAAAGCTCACCCAGCAGCAAGGCCTAACTACAAGCCCTTCTTCCTGACAGACAACAGACAAGACAGACTTTTGAATATACAAACCACAGCCGGCTCAACAGTCCCAAAACCACCGTGTTCAGAAGTATGAACTCCTCTGAGCAGAGATGTTTAATGGACAAGCTGAAGATGACACCAGTTAAGGATAAAAAATAAGCAGCACATAACGAGACACGCCGAACACAGCAACCAGAGGCAATCCACAAAGCAATATCCTGGATAATTTGGGAGATGAGTATCCAAACTTCAGGCTCAGGGCCAGAACAGCAGCCAGGCAACACCTGGAGTTCCTACCTAACTTGAAAATAAAGCATTTGGCTATCACAGAAACTTCACGTTGCACATACAAACTCCACAACTGAGTCCATCAGCAGCACAGGGCTCACAGCAGACCCAGTTTCGGTCTCACGAGGTGCTGCTAGTGAATTGCAAGAATGTTTTCAGAAACTTCACGTTGCACATACAAACTCCACAACTGAGTCCATCAGCAGCACAGGGCTCACAGCAGAAGTTTCAGTCTCACAAGGTGCTGTTAGTGAACTGCAAGGATGTTTTCATGGTGAAAAAAAGGATACAGAAAAGCTTTACAGCAGCAATCCAGCAGGCGTAGTATGAGCTTGCAGCCTCCCAGTACCTTCACAGCCACCGTCTCCAGCATAGGCTGGCTGGGAACTAAGCACTCCTCGTGGGCTTGGGATATATTTTTCCTGTGTTACATGAGGATGAAGAGATGGTTATGAGGTAGAATGCACCCCCTTTAGTTCTGAAGACTGAGTTAATGTATAGTATAACGTATGGGAGCATGACACTTACTGGGGAATCAGTTCTGCCAGAGTTTCAATGCAGCCCACCAGGTTCATTTTCCACAGGCGCTTTATGCACTGTTCTACCTAGAAAAAAAACCAAAGAATTGGTATTTTGAGAGATCGAGTGTCTTGGTCTAAACACTGTCACTATATTAAGCGACACCTTCCCCTTATCAATTTTAACATCCTAAATTGCATGTTTTGAGTGATGGAATGTTCTGCTATATTCCTACAGCTGCATTATGATGAAGGAAATCCCTTTATCACAGTCCTGTGAACACGGAATTAAGCGTGGAGCTGGTTCTGCATGGTTTCACTTGCTGCACACAACGGCCTTTGGCATTGCCTTTTGAGAACGAAAATGCAAAAAACAAACCCAGGAAACCCCCTGAACTACCCTGCGATGAGGCTTAAAACACGACAAAACCGCTCTCGCCCGGAGACAGGGTTTTGGCGACGCTCACTGCGAGTATCAAGCGCCGCCCCAGAGGCCTCCCAGGGGCCGGGCG